ATATTTAGAGTTTTTTTCCAAGTGTACACTTATTGCGCAGCGTACTAACGAGGGTGTAGGCTGAAATCGCGCTATTTCTAATTCGTGTAGGAGCTGTCAGTTTCGGCTGTCTAGGTACATCCCCCGTCAGTCACGCACGCCGAAATAGCCATCTACAGCGCTGATGCAGTGGGAAATCGAATTTTCCCAATGCGTCGATTCGGTGCAGATTTTCTGCAGCAGAACAACGCACAGTAAAGCACCACGTGCCCCCAAGTCAAGCACCCCAACTCACCCACCTCGACCACAACACTTAATGCCCGGCCCCCGAATTACAAAGAAGCCTTCACAAACTGGGGCCAGTTTGTGAAGCACTCCTGCTGGTTTCGGGTTAGCAGGGTTTAGGGGAGGTTTCCGAACCTATTTTCGCTGCTCTCCCATTTTCCAGCGTTGACTTCCGTTGAGCAATTCGGGTTCTGCCCTTTAATTGAAAACGAATCTGAGGCCCTGGTACATGTCGCTGGGCTTCGCCAACTTTTTTTAGGAATCGAACGTGGCATAAAAGGGACCACATTTGATCGTACGCGCTGCGATGTCATGTTAACAAATTGCATTTGTTATCTCTAGGCTGTAATGGGGCATACTCTATGGAGTACAACACTTTAGGGTTAGGTAGTACTTGTACTCATCCTTGCTACCTAGTCCATCATTCATACGGTATTTCTGACATGGTATTCAGAGCGGGTCCATCCTTTGTAGGACCGCTCCGTTAAAACGCACCACTATTTTTTATACCTGCCCGAACTGCCCGTACTGACCTGCCCGAACATCGTTCATCACGTTGCCCTGCCTGCGCTGTCCCGCGCGCTCTGCCCAGCCCGTCGAGCTGCCCGATTGCTGCCTAGCGCACGACCCGCACGCTGCCCTGCTCGCGCTCTGCCCGCACCGCCTGCATGCGCCCTGCCTGAGGCCTACGCGCGCCTTGCCCGCACGCTGCTGCTCGCGTGCTGCCTGCGCGCTGCTGCTGCTGCCCACGCACTGCGTTTCCTGCCTGCGCGCTGCCTGCGTGCTGCCTGCACCGCCGGCGCCCTGCCCGCGCACTGCCCGCACGCCGCTGGCGCCGCTCGCACGTTGCCCTTACAGCCTGCACTGCTCGCGCTCTGCCCACACAGCCCACACGCGGCCCTAAGCGCGCTGCCTGCACGCGTCCTGCATACGCTGCACCAGCTGCTGCCAGCGCCACCCTACTTTGTTGTGCTCGAGCCGCGCCGCACTGCCCCAGCCGCACCGCCCTGCCGAGCCGCGCCGCCCTGCCACGCTGCCTAGCCGACCTGCCTTTACTGCTGATTCCCGAGCAGCAGCGCGGTGGGAAGTTGGCGCCGAAAGCTCGCTGGGGGCTTCACCTGGGTGTGTTACCGGAGAGCAAGGGCTGGGAGGTGCTCAACCTGACTGACAACAAGGTGGTCATGTCGGTTGAGGTGATTGTCTACGAAACGTTGTCGCTGGAGGTGTGGAAGGCGAAGTATGGGTCGGCGTCGGGGCGGACGCAGGCACACCCGCCAACGAACACCTCGACCGCGACGGTCCCACTGCTCGCTGAAGTCAACGAGCCTGCTGATGAGGATGTTGTGGAGATTCTTCCATCTCCCGCTGTTCTTGCTCCTCCCTCCCCTGCCGCGGATCGGCATACGTCGACGCCTATGTCGGCCACCAGCAATGAGGGGAGCCTTGAGGCGTCGCCTGTGGCGCCAGCCCGTGGCATCGTTGGCGATCGACAAGGCGCCAAGCTCGTTGACCACGACGGGAAGCCGTCGACGAAGTAGACAGGGGAGCCGGTCGAACAGGAGGCAGCCGCAGGGGTGTGTGAAATAACAAGGAATGATTGCATTGAGCAGCATGAGGAGTACAAGTAGGAAACCCTAAAGTGTTGTACCCCATATGAGCTACCCCACTACAGCCTACACAGACTATAAGTCTTACACACCCCCATAGGCAAAGTGGGGGAGAACAAGAGGTCACAAGACCAGTCAAGAGAAGCAAGGCAAGCACAGGGTGGATCACAACATCACCACGCAATCTGAGCACAAGCACAAGGCCACAAAGCCAGTTCACATGCAGAGTTATATATCAAGATGAACAAACAAGGCAGTGATCTCAACCTAGCAAGGGAAAGCATGCAACTCCATGTATATATAGATCACGGTACAAGCAAAGTCAAGAAGTGAGCAAGTGAGGCCAAGTAGGCACAAGACCTAGCATAGTACAAAAGCGCTGATGATCACAAGGCGGAAGTGCCTTGGTAAAGATATCAGCAGTGCTGGCCTCAGAGGCAACGTAAGCAAGGCGCAGCTAACCGCGCTGCTATAGCTCACGAGCGAGGAAGTAGCGAATAGCAATGTGCTTCGTTCTGTGCTCCAGTCTGTGCTCCCGACATAAGGCCAGCATGGCCTTGTTGTCTACGTACATAACTGGAGGAGAACGAGGCGGCTCTCCTAGGTCAGTCACCAGGTAGGTGAGCCAGCATAGCTCCTATGCGGCCATGGCCCCTGCGTAGATCTCGGCCTCACAGCAGGAGCCGAGAACAGAAGACGAGCGGGTAGACCGCCACGAGACAGAGCCAGAACCAAGGCTGAAGGTATAACCCTGTCACAATTGCTGCGTAGCCTGGTCGTCAGCCCAAGAAGCGTCTGCGTGACCTGTGAGGACCACTGGACGTCGCCCTCCAAGCACTAGTCCCATGCCCGACGTACTGCACAAGTAGCGCAACACCCTCTTCGCTGCAGCCATGTGCTCTGGTCGGTGTCTCCCAGGAACAACATAGCGTGCCAAGATGCTAAGAGGGTATGCTAGGTCAGGTCGTGTGCAGGTCATCAGGTACATGAGGCAGCCAGCAAGCTCTGGGTACGGACCACTCGGCTCTACAGACTCATTCAAAGGCAGAGCTGAGAGCGAGTGGCGAGTAGACAGAGGAGTGGCCTGAGGCGAGGAGTACGTGATGTCGAAGCGCTGAAGGACCTGCTGCACCATGTGTGACTGAGTCAGGGTAATGGTGCGCTGTGCTCTGTCCCGGGTGATCTGCAAGCCAAGGTAGCTACGAAATTCACCCAGGTCTGTGCACGTGTGTCTCTCCTGCAGCTCGGACTTCACGTGGGCGAGTCCAGCAGTGTCAGCAGTGGCAAAGACCAAGTCGTCGACGTACACGAGGATCAAGAACGGCGGCAGAGAGGTTTCGGTGCGCAGAAACAGCGACGGGTCGGCAGTAGAAGGAGCAAACCCAAGAGCCGCAAGTGTAGTCCACAGTGTGTCGTGCCACTCACAGGGCGCCTGGCAGAGACCGTAGACTGGCCGCCGGAGGCTCCACTGAGTACCACGAGGAAACGACCCAGTGAAGCCAGGTGGGCAGCGCAGCCAGATCTCCTCGTGCAGGCTGCCCTGCAAAAAAGCTGTGCTGAAGTCAAGAGAGTGAAGCTCGTAGTCGCGCTGAGCGGCTATGTGCAGCAGCACCCGAAGAGTGGTCATCTTCGGGGTGGGGGAGAAGGTCTGAAAGTAGTTAACTCCCTGCCGCTGGCTGAAGCCTCAAGCCACGTAACGTGCCTTGAAGACAGGCGGAGAACCCGGCGGCCGCTTCACCCTGAAAATCCACATGCCACTGACAATGTTCACCCCAGGTGGGGGAACCTCGTCGACATAGGTGCCTGTGGACTTCCAGGAAGCCATCTCTGCGTCCATGGCTGACTGCCACTATGAGAATTAGGGACCCTCGATCGCCTCAGTGTACGATTGAGGAGTCGGGATGTCTGGTGCATCCGGGTCTCCTGCAGGGGCAATCAGCGTGGACACGAGATGAGGCAAAGCAGGAGAAAAACACTGGAACTCCTCCTGCCTGACCTCAAGGACGTCCGTGCTAAGAGCACACTCACCCCCGACGGACGGAGGACAGACAGACTCAGACTCAGCAACAAGACTAGCACCATAGTCTAGACGACAGCGAGCAGCAAAGTCGACAAGCTCAGCAACTAAGGCAGACGCAGCAGTGGACTCAAAAGAAGGGTCAGTGACAACAGTAGCCAGGAGACGCGTGATAGTAGGACTGGCAACAAGAAGAGAGTCCGACTCCAGGTCAGCAAGAGTAGGAAGAGAGGACTCTGGAGGAGATGGCAACGAGACACGCAGAGGAGCAGTGGAAGGACGAACACTAGTGCGAGCAGCACGAACAGGCGACGCAGGACGAGACGCAGGCTCATGCCACTCAGCAAGACCTCCAGTAGGACCTGTGTAGTGAGAAGGAGTTGGCAGGGGGGAGGCGGGCTGTAACTGTGACCGCGACTGGACAGGCTGTGGACATGCTAAGGGAGAAGCAAGAACCTGCTCAAGGAGCGGAACGAAGTATGGCCTCAGCCGTGCAGCGCCTCCAGAACCAGCAGGGACAGCACCAGTACCCCCAGCAGCAGCACCAGCGCCAGCAGCACCTCCAGCTCCATAAGCGCCAACTCCAGCACCCTCCGAAGCACCAGCGCCAGCAGAACCACCAGCGCCAACACCCCCCGCAGCTCCATCTCCAGCTGCTCCAATAGTACCAACTCCAGCAGGACCGTCAGCTCCAGCACCGCCAGCAGGTCCAGCAGTACCTCCAACAGGACTCCCAGTCCCAGCAGCTCCAGAAACGCCAGGACGAGCACCTCCAGGACCAGTAGCAACACTAGTACCTCCACCTCCAGCACCACGGCTCCAGCGGCGAGCAAACCACTCGCGCAGCTCCTGCGGAGAGAGTAGCTCCCGCCTCGACGAAGCACCGCCAGAGGCCACACGAGCAGACCCAACAACCCCACGCTCCGCACCCCCAGGCTCAGCACCCCCAGGCTCTGCACCCCCAGACTCAGCACCCCCAGGCTCAACACCCCCAGACTCAGCACCCCCAGGCTCAACACCCCTAGGCCCCGCACCCCCAGACCCGGCACACGTAGGCTCAGCGCCCCTAGCAGCACGAGAGTCAACAGCTACCTCGACAGGCTCAACTGCGTCTACCTGGGACACACCTAACGGGGCAGGACCCTGAGGGGGGAGGGGGTCTACCGGGGGAGGACCTGGCGCAAGGAAGAGCGGCGGCGGGGGGAGGGGCGCAGTGCGGTAGGGGAAGAGACGGTATTAAGGCACCGACTCGTAAAAGGTGACGTCCTGGGAGGACAGAACACGGTGCGAGGTGGGGTGGTAAAACTGCCAACCAGGCGCGTCAGGGGGGAAGCCAAGGAAGACACAGGGAACAGCACGAGGGGAAAGCTTGTCCGCAGACAAGTCGGGGACAAACGCCCGAGATCCTTAGACCCGAAACGCAGACGCATTGCCAACCTTCCCCATCCACTGTAAGGTGGGGGAGATCTCTAGCAAGGAGACCCGGGGCTGAAGGTTGAGCTGATGCGCTGCGTACTGAACCGCAAACGGCCACGGAAAATGGGGAGCAGCCGCATGGATCATGGACGTACGAGCGAAGTCCATGACCATGCCAATGCGGCGCTCAGCAATCCCATTTTGCTGTGGAGAGGCCGGAAGTGTGAAGGTCTGGCGGGTGCCCTGTGCACGACAGAAGGCTCCCAGACAGGCAGAGGAAAACTCCCCGCCTCTGTCAGAGTGCAGACGCAGAACAGGAAAGTCCGAGCCGAAACTCTCTCTGAGCTGGAGACGAGCTGCGCGGATCCAGTCGATCAACACCTCAATGACATCACCCTTGCTACGCAAGGGGAACACCGTGGTGTAACGAGAGTAGTCGTCAACCACCAACAGGAAGTAACGCTTGTGACCCTTGCCACGGACGCGGGCGGGGCCCCACACGTCCATGTGAAGATTCTGCAAGGGAGCCTCTGTCGGAGGAAACTCGAAGGAGTGAGGGGCGGCGCGCTGCCACCCCTCGACGCAGGGGACGCAGGTAGGGGCAGGCCCCAGAGGTAGGGGGGGAGGGACCGGGGGAGACCAAAGACAAGGACACGTGAGGCCATGCCTCGGAGACGAGGCAGGGAGGGGTGACCAAGGCGGTGGTGCCAAAAGAGTCTGGAGGGACAGGAGACCACACCTGGACGCTGCAACAAACACCTGACTCGACGCAGCTACCTGACCAGACTCAGCAGCAGGAGGAGACTCAGTGGTCAGTGTGTACAGGCTCGACCCCGGCTGACGGGTAAACGTGGCCAAATGTCGGCCCGTCCGAGCACACGTACAGTGGGCCGGATACGGTAAGACAGTGGACAAGCTAGCAAGGACAGGACCCCTAGAGGGGTCCGCCAGGGAGACCGCAACCGGCCAACTAAGCGGCGTAAGCGTGGTGCGGTCTCGAAAGAAGGAGCGGGAAGCACCCGAGTCAAGGGTGAAGGTGTGCAAGGCCTGAGCCGACGTGGTACCTGAGAGAGCAGACTCACCAGCACCTGGGGAAGCAGACGTACTAGCACCTGGAGCAGCAGCCTCACCAACACCTAGAGCAGCAGCCTCAATGCCCGGGTTAGGCGGAACGCACAGGTAACAGTCACCCTCATCACTAGTAGACACAGCAAACATGGCAGCAAGAATAGCATCAAAGTGAAGATCAAAGATAGCAACCCCCGCCCTAGACAGCTCTCCCCAGCGAGGGATCTCAGTGGCGTCAGGGAACTGATGACGACACGCGTCCGTCAGGCGGCCGAAGCAGCGCTGGGTGGAGTGCGTGCCCCCACACTGCTTACCAGCGCGGTCGCCTGTACGGAGGACGTAGGTGCAGGGACCAGTACCCCCACCCCGCTGACGCCCAGCGTACCACTCACGAAGCTACTGAGGGGACAGGGTCTCCCGACAGCGCTGCTGGTGCTGGCGCGGACCACCACCGCAGCCACTCCTCTGCGCAGAGCCGCGACCAGCTCCATCGCTGCCTCCGCCACCTCCGCCACCTCCGCCACCTCCACCACCTCCGCCGGCTCCGCTCCCTCCGCCACCACCGCCGCCTCCTCCGCCTCCACTGCTGCCACCGACACCTCCGCCCCCGCCACCACTCCCACCACCACCCCCACCCCCTCCACTGCCTCCACCACCACCTCCACTGCCCCCACTAGCCCCCCCAACGCCCTTGCCCCCCTTGCCCTTGCCGGTGCGGCGCTTCCCGCAAGGGGCAGACGCAGCGCCGACCGACTCGAAGCCAACGAGGTCGGCGGCAGCAGCAAAAGCAATAGAGGGCAAGAGGGGGTAGGGAGAACACCCCTCAAAGACGGGGGTGCAAGGGTCACCACGAGAGGCTCTTACAGCGACTATGTTCTTCTCTGCTGCTAGGAGGCGCTCCTCGAAAGGTCAACGGTGAGTGTGGTGGGGCAAACTGAGAGGAAGTGGTCCCTGACTAAGCGAAGGGAGTCGGGGAGCCGGGTGACTACGTAGTAGAGGGTGATGTACATGGAGGGGGGGGGGGTGTTCTTGGCACAGAACTCAGCACGAAGTGCAGCGCGGTAGCGAGTGTCACTAGTGCGAAGGTGCGTAATGAGGTCAGCGACTGTGGGAAAGGCAGCAAGGTCAGGGAACAGGTACGGTAGCATGAGGCGGCTAAGCGCAGTAGTGGCAGGGGAAGAGTAGCGTGCAACTACAGCGTCGTACAAGGTCTTAGCACTCTTGTACTGGCTAAAGTGCGAACGCTCAGTGGTCGGTAAGTGGCGACGCACAGCAAGACGTGCAGCAGCATCGCGCATGGCCCACTGTGAGCGAACAATGCTATCAGCAGTAGCAGGCGGGGCAAGAGAGACAGCAGAGATGAGATCGAACTGGGAGAGTCTGTCTGCCCTATCGCACTGTAAGAACAGCTGGAGGTCATCGACCCAGACCTCAAAGTCAACAGTACGGCCCTCAGTATCAAAAGTAAGGACACTGGGGGTAGCCATGACTGCAGTGGCCTAGCAGGGAGTGAGCTCACCAGTCCAAGGGAGTAGGGCCGGGGCGCGCCGGTAGGAACAGTAGTGGCTCGACGGCAGGGCGGCTTGGCGGCTCGGCTGCTGGGCGGCACGGCGTCTCGGCGGCTCGGCGGCTAGGCGGCTAGGCAGCTCGGCTGCTCGGCGGCTCGGCGGCTTGGCTGTTGGGCGGCTCGGCTGCTGGGCGGCTCGGTGGCTGGGTCGTCGTGCGGCTCGGCGGCTCGGCGGCTGGGTCGTCGTGCGGCTCGGCGGCTCGGCTGTCGGGCGCCTCGGCTGCTGGGCGGCTGGCAGCGTGGTGGTTTGGCTGCTCAGCTGCTGGGCGGCTCAGCGGTGAAGGGGCTGGTAGAGACGGCGACGGGGCCGCTAGGGGCGGCGACGGGGTCGCTAGGGGCGGCGACGGGGCTGCTAGGGGCGGCGACGGGGCCACTAGGGTCGGCGACGGGGCCGGTAGGGTCGGCGGCGCGGCCGCTAAGGGCGGCGAGGTGGCCGCGAAGGGCTGCGACGGGGCCTCCAATGGCGGCGACAGGGCCGCTAGGGTCGGCGACGGGGTCGCAGAGGGGCCGTAGGGGGCCTAGAGGGGGCGGCGACGGGGCCGCAAGGGGCGGCGATGGGGCCGTAAGGGGCGGCGACGGAGCCACGAAGGGGCCGCGAGGGGCCTGGAGGGGCGGCGACGGGGCCTAGAGAGCCGGAGACGGGGCCGCGAAGGGGCTGCGAGGGGCCTAGAGGGGCAGCGACGGGGCTGCGAAGGGGCCGCAAGGGGCCTAGAGGGGCGGCGACGAGGCCGCTAGAGGAGGCAACGGGGCCGCAAAGGGGGCCGCGACGGGCCTAGAGGGGTGGCGACGGGGCCGTAAGAGGGGTTGTGAGGGGCTGCGAAAGGGGCCGCGAGGGGCCTGAGGAGGGCGCGACGGGCCGCTAAGGGCTAGGGGCGCGACGGGAGGGAGGGCACACGGGGCGCGACTCGGGCAGGAGGGAAGCGCGCTACGGGCAGGAAAAAAAAAATCAGTGGTGGGCCCTAGGAAACGTTCCCACTAGGGAACCTGCTCTATACCATGTGAAAGAACAAGGAATGATTGCATTGAGCCGCATTAGGAGTACAAGTAGGAAACCCTAAAGTGTTGTACCCCATATGAGCTACCTCACTACAGCCTACACAGACTATAGCATATAAGTCTGACAGGGTGTAGTCGACAGGGGAGAAGCAGCCTGGGCGGTCGACAGGGGAGCTGTCAAAGTCAGCAGGAGGTGAGCAGCCGGTCGAAGGGTCGAAGCAGCTGGTCGACGATGAAGACGTCGACGAGGAAGGAGAGCGGTCGGCGGGTGAGGAGTACACCGACAGCGACGTGGTGGAGGTGCTGATCACGAAGCCTGAGCTACGACGCACAGGTCGAGCTCAACGGCCACCAGAGCGGGTGAGCTTCCACGCCTGCCTACCGCCACCTGCCTTCACCACGGTGTACGACGAGGTCAACGATGACCTGTTGTACGACGACGCCGAGTAGGATGAAGAACTGCCGAAGCTCGACCCCGACGTGCATGCTGACCCTGAACATCGCTGGGACATTGCCACGATGACGGTTTAGGAGGCGCTGGCGAGCTGGAAGGGCGAGGTGGTGAAGGCCGCCATGGAAGAAGAGATCCGCAGCCTCATCCGCATGGGCACTTGAGAGCTGGTAGAATGCTCACGCGGGGTGAACACCGTGAACAACCGGTGGGTGTTGACGACCAAGTACTGCATCAATGAAACCGTCGAGCGCGAGAAGGCGAGGCTGGTCATGAAGGGCTTCAAGGAGCTGCTAGAGGCCGCCTTCGAGCTGCGTGAAATCTCGCCGGTGGTGAAGTACCTTGGGCTGGAGATCGGTGCGACAGGCCGGCTAGGAAGCTGTGGCTGCACCAGCAGGGCTACGCCGACAAGCTGCACGTGCGCTTCATCGACGAGGAGCATGGCGGTCGAGTCCCAAAGACACCGGTCTCGGTCGACGCCTATGCTCAGCTGACTTTCGACAACGAGGAGGCCCAGGAGCGCGAGGAGGAGGAGTACCGGCAGAAGGTTGGGTTGCTGCAATTCGCGGCGACGACGACAAGGCCGGACATTGCGTTTGCCTGCAGCAAGCACGGGAGCGGCCTCACGGTGAGGAGCAACCAGCATTGGCGCGAGGTCGATCGCTACCTTGCCTACCTCGCTGACACCCGCGATACCGCCCTGGAGTTCGGCGGTGGACCTGGAGCTGATCGGCAACGTGGATGCGGACGACGCGGGTGACAAGCAGAACCGGACGAGCACGGGAGGCTAGTTGTTTGTCTACGGAGGGGCCGCCGTCTCCTGGTTGACCTCGCGCATCAAGTGCGCAACATTGCCGTCGACCAAGTCGGAGTACATGGCGGCCACGGATGCACGCAAGGAGGGACACCGACTTCGTTTCCTTCTTTCGGAATTCAAGCTGCTCGACGCTGGGCAGCCGACCCTCCTCCGCGTCGACAACAAGTTGGTGATCACGGTCGCTGAGGGCTTGGGGCTGACGGGTAACCTCAAGCACATGGAGCGACGCTACGCATGGCTGCAGCACATGGTGAGGCGCGGGAAGTTCGTGCTGAAGTACATCCCGACCATCGAGCAGCCGGCGGACTTCCTGACGAAGGCGCTGCATTTTCCAGCTTTCAACGAAGGTGCTCTATCGCCGTCGGCCAATTTCGTCTGGCCGACGCCGGCGATGGCCACGACGAGGTGCAGTAGTAGGTGCCGTGCCCTTCTGCACGGCTGGTGCGGTGACGGCGTGCTGTGTGTGGGGTGCACGCCGAGGACGAGTTTTCTCCGTGGAGTACTGCCATGTGGGCTGGAGGCCCAAGCGTAAGCGCGGCAGAAGAGTGTTAACATGAATGAAGTGTTGGCCCCGCCCTCGCTTGGGCAACGCCGACGACTTGGTCGGATGTACGGGAGTAGCAGCCGACTGTTCACAGTAGGAGAGCTGCTCGACAGGCTTCGTCAAGCTGCAGGGGACCGGCCGTAAGTCTGCTGCCGTAGGTACTGCTTCTGCTTAGGCCTTGCACACCTTCACATTTGACTCAGGAGCGTCTTGCTGCTTCTTTTGCAATTGCACCACAGTCACACCGCTCACAGCACCTGTCTCAGTCTCTATCGCTGACCCCTTTGGGGGCCTAGTCGTTACACGAGCCTCCACTGTCCTCCCTTGTTCGGCAGTCCCCTCCGGTTCTCTCTTAGGTCTCCACATCCCCTCAATCTATAAGAACTTGGTGAGTAACGCTGTCCTCCAGGGTGAGCTCGTCAGTACATTTTCTCCTAGAGGTGAGCATGTGACGATCTGTTTGGACTCACGCACTGACGAGCACCTCGCCACGTTCACTCGGAGGCCTGGGTTGAGCCTGTACACACTAACCACTGATTCCGCACAGGTGGCTGCGTCAGATCAGGTGGTTGCCTCTACACAGGTGGTTGCGTCGGGTCAATTATCTGCGTCTTGTTTGTGTCGGCTACTCTCGCACCAGAATCTCCTCTTGCACCACCGTCTTGGTCACCCCTCCCTGCCACGCCTGCGTGGCATGCACTCGCGTCTCCTTATCTCTAACCTTCCCAGGTCCCTGCCCCCGCTCCCGCGCTCGCTGCACCACCGTGCCTTCCCTGCGTCGAGGGACGGTAGTGCGCCGCTCCTCACTCCTCCTCGTTTCCGCCGACCACTGCTCCTCTACAGACTCTCCACATGGACGTGTGGGGCCCAGCCCGCATCCGTGGATAGGACCAGGAGCGCTACTTTCTGCAGGGTGTTGATGACTACACACGCTACACCACGGTCTTCCCCTTGCGGAGCAAGGCAGATGTTTGCGGTGTTTTGATCGACTGGATCATCGCTGTTTGTTGCCAGTTGAGCGGGCGGTTTCAGTAGGACCTCCAGGTGAGTTTTTCTTCGTCCTCTTTCAGAACTTCTTTCGTGCAAATTGCATCGTCCGGTCGTTCATGTCAGAACTTATAGCTTACTTGTTTCTGTAGGCTATAGTGGGGTATCCCATAGGGGGTACAACCAAATTAGGGTTTCCTATTTGTACTCACTTCATTCATAGTCATTTCACTTCTCGTTCGTATTTTCTCATGGAATCAGAGCAGGTCCCTTCCTAGGGCCTGTTCCTAGGGCCCACCGAAGCGCGCCCCGAGGCGCGACCTCCGAGTCGCCCCTCCAGTCGTGCCCCCGCTTAGGCCCCTCGTCGGCCCCGCTTAGGCCCCTCGTCGGCCCCGCTTAGGCCCCTCGTCGGCCCCTGCTTAGGCCCCTCGTCGGCCCCGCGTACCCCTCGTCGGCCCCGCGTAGGCCCCGCGTACCCCTCGTCGGCCCCGCGTACCCCTCGTCGGCCCCGCGTAGGCCCCGCGTACCCCTCGTCGGCCCCACGTAGGCCCCGCGTAGGCCCCGCGTACCCCTCGTCGGCCCCGCGTAGGCCCCGCGTACACCTCGTCGACCCCGCGTACACCTCGTCGACCCCGCGTACACCTCGTCGACCCCGCGTACACCTCGTCGACCCCGCGTAGGCCCCGCGTACACCTCGTCGACCCCGCGTAGGCCCCGCGTACACCTCGTCGACCCCGCGTACACCTCGTCGACCCCGCGTACACCTCGTCGACCCCGCGTACACCTCGTCGACCCCGCGTAGGCCCCGCGTACACCTCGTCGACCCCGCGTAGGCCCCGCCCAGGCCCCGTCTCGGCCCCGTGTCGGGGCCGCGTAGGCTCCGTTGGCCCCGCTTAGACCCCTATTCGGCCCCGCGCCGGCCCCACCTACGCCCTGTCGGCCCCGCGCTGGCCCCGCTTAGGCCCGCCACCGGCCCCTGCTACAGCCCGCCGCGTCGGCCCCGCCTACAGCCCCCCAGCCCGCCACCGGCCCTGCTACAGCCGCCACCGGCCCCTGCTACAGCCCGCCACCGGCCCTGCTACAGCCCACCACCGGCCCTGCTACAGCCGCCACAGGCCCCTGCTA